TCTACTTACAACCCGGAAACACGCAAAAAGTTATGTGACCTGCCCAAGTCTGCACAACCCAGGGACAGGATGCATCCCACGCACGTGTGACCCAGATCTGCCCTGGGATCCCTACAACTTGGCCACAGGGAGTGCCACACTGCCAGAGGCCACCAGTTAAAATGACATGTATAGGAGTCTTATACAGAGTGGCCATTCGTTTGTTCCACGATAAAGTTTAGCTGCTGAGTGAGTGGTACAGAATGACTGCTTCAAAACGTCTTTGGCAGACACCACAAAAGGTTTCTTAAAGAAAATTAGAACCCCAGGCAGAGAATAGAGTCTTCCGGAAAAATTTAACTGTGAGGGGCTGTAGTATATAAAGGATGCTTCCACTTGGCAGGCTTTTATAGTTGGTGAATGGAGTGGGAAATGGATGTTGGGGAAAATTTTTTCCCTTCTAGGTTCTTTGGTTGGTCTAATAATTAAAATGGACATAAAACAGATTATCAGGAGAAAAACAAACTTAATTTTGTATGTATAGGAGCCACGTTGTTGCAAATGGCAGAATTTCCTTCTTTTTTATTTAAGACTTTTTACATTTCAGAAAACAAACAAAACTTGGGTTTATAAGAAAGTATGTTTGAAGCTGAGAAATTCATGAAAAGAATAAGGAAGGGTCATTTAAAATGCATTTTTTGTATAACATGAATTTAAAATTGTATTTATTATTAATCTAAAAGTTAATAATCATGATACATGCATAGTGAGTCTTGGAAAAATATGTTTCATGTCAGGGTGAACCCATCTCAAGATACTGACATTCAAAATATAGTTCTGTTTGTATTTTTAAAAATTCAGATATAATTGACAGCATTGTGTAAGTTTTTCGATAATAGCCATTCTAACAGGTATGAGGTGATAGTTCACTGGGGTTTTGATTTGCATTTTCCTTATGATCAGTGAGGCTGAGCATCTTTATATGTATCTCTTGGTCATTTTTGTGTCTTCTTTGGAAAAAATACCCTGTCGGTTTTTCTGCCCATTTTTAACTGGTTCTTCAGTCAAAAATCTAATAATTTTTCCAGATAAAACTGTAATTCAAAAAGACACATGCACCCCAATGTTCGCAGAAACATTATTTACAATAGCGAAGACTTGGAAACAACCTTAAATGTCCATCAACAGATGAATGGATAAAGAATCTGTGATATATACATATATAAATATAAAATGGAACATTACTCAGCCATAAAAAGAATGAAATAATGCCAGTTGCAGTAACATGGATGGACCTAGAGATTATCATATTAAGTGAAGAAAGTCAGACAGAGAAAGACAAATATCATATGATGTCCCTTATATGTGAAATTTGAAAAAAAGATACAAATTTTATTTATAAACCAGAAATAGACTCATGGACACACAAAACAAACTGTGGTAACCAGGGTGGAAAGTGAGGGAGGGATAGATTAGGAGTTTGGGATTAACAGATACACATTACTTTATATAAAATAGATAAACAACAAGGGCCTACTTATATAGCACAGGGAACTATATTCAATTTCTTGTAATGAGCTGTAATGGAAAAGAATCTGAAAAATATATATATGTATAACTGAATCATTTTGCTGTATATCGGAAACTAACACTGTAAATCGACTACACTTCAATAAAAAATAAGAATGAAAACAATCTAATTATTTTGTCTATCCAAGCAGACAACTATGAAGGACCTACTTACCTTCCCTGTTCATAGTCTCTGTGAGAAAGGTTTGTAATCAAATAATGAGAACTGAAGAAGGGCCCTTTTTCAATTGGAGGCAGTACTGAAGAGGCAGATCTAAGAGATATTTTAGAATCATTTGTGACCCTTTAAGACAACAGGGACTAAAGGAAAAAAAAAACTCATACAAGATTTAGATGAATCTGGACGATCAGGTAGATGATATGGCTTCTATTACAAGGGAACAGGAAAGAGGGTACAAAATGGCTTTAGGTGATCCAGGGGATTCTGAAAAGGTAATTTTAAAACAAAAGAGTAAGTTTACTTTATAGAACGAGCACTAAATGTACAGTAGTGGTTAGGCTATGAAATTATACATGATGAAAATACAAGATTTAAATAAAGGTAAATTTTATGAGAGCATTCTGGAATAGGTTTCTAAATGAAGTTAGGAAAGCTGGTACACAGCTTCTCACTGGCACTGATAACAGGGAGGACAGCACTGCAATATTCAGCATCATGTCCTTTGTTGGTGCGACCCAAGCTAAAATGCAATATTAGAGAGGATGGATATTCAGTCTGATTCAGCATGGTGCTGCTGATGTCTGAGGTGTTCCTAATGCTGTTCCACCTGGATAGCTGGCAGAGCTTTCCACCACTCCCTTTCCCTTCAAGATGGATTCAGATGCTCACCTTGCTCAGGAATGACCTGGAATTCTGCATATTCCCATTGAACTGTCTTTTCACGGTCTGGAAAGGAAGAGCTGGTGGCTCCTGTGCTGCTTGATGAGGAAACCTGGAATGCACTCCCATTCCACAGGTATGGGCTACAACCTGGAAACAAGATACAGTTGGGATTATGAAAGACTCAATGAGTACCTTAGAAAGACACCTTAGGGAACAGTTCTCAGGGCACAGAATAGAGAAGGAATGTGAACAGTCTTGTCCCACCCTCAAGAGAAAGTAGAAACAGACTAATATACCTGGTCAGGCTGAGTAGAGACTGAAGCTCTGTAACCTTGTTCCCATGGTTGTATCGATGCTTCTCTCTCTGGCTAGGACCTTCATTCCCGAACGTTCCCCCATTTGATCACACCTGCTGTCCTGTTACATCAAGTTGGCTCTCCAAATTCTCCAACATGATCACTGCTTCCTCTCCATTCTTTGGCTGATGCGCTAACACCAGGCCTGGAGTTCCTCAGGCAGGATGGTCAGGAACTGCTCCAGCACCAGCAGCTCCAGGATTTGCTCCTTGGTGTGGCAAAGTTCCCAGAGTTGGTGCAGAGCCTCACAGGGTCCAGGTGTCTCCAGGTAATAGAAATGCCTATAGTTCTGACTAGCAGCTACCTCCTGGTTGTTGGAGGTCTTCCCAAGTACCCCATATTTGTGGCCCCAAGTGTTGTCCTTCTCTTTTACTGTCAGGAAACTTTTCGGTTCCCTTTGAGATTTACTAGCCAAAGTTGTGGCCAATATGGGCTATAACGGTTTCAGTAAGCTCTTACTTCATGGGTTGGGGTGACAAAATTCACCAGAATTGTCAGTTTTTCCTTTTGAATTAATATTTCAGTGGTTCATTCAGTGAGTTTCAAGATGACTAGTCTTTAATTTCAGTTAAGGTTTCCAGTAACATTTGGCATTTCTCTAGGTTAAAAATAATTTATTTTGCCTTCAGAATGACTCCAACAAATCACCCCCAAGGACTTTTGTAGTTCAAGGTCACTGGGAAACAAACACTAAGACATTTTCAATAAAGCCTCTTAGTGGAAAATTGTGTGCATTAGATGATCATGCTTCTAGTATGGAGGTTCTGCTCCTAGCTAGAGAGTTTTCATACAAAAACATTATACACTGTGGAATATTTAGGCCTTAAATAGCTTTCATTTTTCACATCAGTGCAAGTGTTTAACAAACAGGTAAAACGAGTAACGCAAGATTCACCCTCATAGCATGAAATCACTGCAAGAGTTCCAACTTGTTGCAGATCCCTTTCCACTCTTCTCTCATGAGAAGAGAGTTCATGACCTTTATTTTTAGTATCAATCCCTCAGCCTTCTTTCACCACTGTCAGTAGCCAGAGAACCCTATCTCTGTTAAGAGAGATTCCCAGAACTACAGTTTCTATCTGCCCACCTCAGGAAGGTGCCAAAAATGCCCCACAGCATACATGGCAGTAAAATCCTGGTTAAACTTCTGGGTCCATCTCCTCCAAATTCTGACATTCAGTTCAATTTGAATATCTTTCCTTACCTCTAACCCCAGCTCTTGCCTAGTTTACTTCTACTCTCCGTCTTACTCCAATCTTTGGGTTATGGCCTCTTGCCCCGAATGCTCTTCTGGTTATATGTACTTCCCGGCATGACCTCTGGACAGATTTTGGCCTACATACTGGAATGCCACCATTGCATATGTCCTCTTGTCTGGTATAACTTCATTTTCTTGTGTCTTCATTTTTTAAAGGAATGTTCCCAAAGCACTCATTGCTCAAGCTAGTCAACTCCTGGGCCTAACCTACCTCCTTCTGTGGAGGATTGTTAACTAGGGTTGATGATCAGTCTCTTTACCTGAATCTTCCTCCCCCTACACTGTATCATGGTTATTTCCCAAGAGTCCTTTTTTATGTTTCCATTGCCACAGATTAACTTATTTACTAGCCTCCCCAAATTTCTCTGATTTGACTTTAATAGTCAGTGGCAGAGGCACATTCCCAGTCTCACAGAAAGAAGACCATACGCAGAACAGCAAACTTGAGAATGAGAGAATAAAGAGACATTGGTCTTTCACTCATTCATCTCACCCAATATTTTTTATTTAGTGTTTTTTATATTTTGCTATTTCCATGTGAATTTAAGTTCTTTACATTAAGAGGTTTTCCCTCTTGTGAATTCTCTGATGTTGACTAAGGTGTGAGCTCTGACTGAAGGCTCTCCCACACTCAGCGCACTCATAGGGTTTCTCTCCAGTGTGGATTCTCAGGTGTCGAATAAGGTGTGAGCTCACTCTGAAGGCTTTCCCACATTCACTACATTCATAGGGTTTCTCTCTGGTGTGAATTCTCTGATGTAGGATAAGATGTGAGTTCAGGCTGAATGCTCTCCCACATTCTTTGCATTCAAAGGGTCTTTCCCCAGTATGAATTCTCTGGTGTCTAATAAGATCTGAGCTCCCCCCAAAGCCTTTCCCACATTCACTACATTCATAGGGTCTCTCTCCAGTATGGATTCTCTGATGCCTAATAAGCTTTGAGCTGTGTCTGAAAGCTTTCCCACATTCGTTACACTGATGGGTTTTCTCTCCACTGAAAACTGCTGCATGTTTAATAAGGCTTGGGCTCTTGAGAGACTTTCCATATTGGTTGTTTTTTTCTCCAGCATAAATTCTTTGATGCTTAATAAAATCTGAATTCCATTTGAAACTTTGGTCATAGGTACTGTTTTTATAAGATTTCTGGTGTGTAAATTCATTTGAGTTCAGATTTAGGCTTTTCTCACATCCATCATGGCTCATTATTTCACCTGTAAGTGTATTTTTGTGAGTGAGGATTTTACTAAAACCTCCATCTTGAGCAGACGGTGATCTCTGAGACTCCCCTGGTTCTTTTTCCCGTTGCCTCTTTATCCTGCCTGCAGGCTTACAGACGTCTTGAGGCTCAGCAGATCCTTCTGACACAAATCCTGAAATTCTCCCTGATATAATTCTCTGTGATTCCATTTTATCATAAATGTCCAGCTTTGGCATGGATCCACTGTTTTCACTCTCATTATCTAAAATAGTGATGAAAAAATAAAGTGGTAAATACCTGTTTGCTGAACTGGAAGAAAAGAAATATTTGAGGTACCCCCAAGATAGTTAAATGTTGGTACTTCATTTGGCCACTCTAAAACTGTGGCCTTTCAAATGAGAGGAGTAACGGACAAGGACAAAAAAGAAAGAAAAACTGGTAAAAGAAAGTAATGTATGCAGTGGTTGGCAGAGAGAGGAAACAGACATCTGAGGATGAGCAGATACAATAGAAAACATTAGGAAGAGGATCATCACCTGCAAGAATGGAGGTGGGGGTGGGGAACAAAGAAAAGAGAAAGAACTATGCAATGTGACTGAGAAGGATCTTGGGGAAGTTTAGGTCTATGATACATTTCTAGTCTTAGGTTCAGAGGCTGAAAGGGAGGCACCATCTCAAAGAAAGCAGATGAGGACACAGATGCACTGAGCAAAGTCATGCTATAATGACTCTGACCTCAGAGGGAAAAACTCCCACCCGTCTATCCCTCCAATCCATCTTGGAAAGATGGATTTCATTTCTTCTTCATCCTCCATGGATAATCAAATTCTATCATCACTTTTTGCTAAATGTCCCCCATATACACCTCTTTCTTTACATTTCTGTTACTATCTAACCTCACCACTTTCTGTTTAGATAACTGCAACAGCCTACTTGCTATTTTGACTCTGAGCTATTCTTCTTTCGAGTCATTCTAAATACCCTTACCAGACTAATTGCCATTAGCCCTGTCATCCTCTTACACTCTACTCAGAAACCTTTAATTTCTTCTAAAACACATCTGAACTCTTCCGATAGTTTCCAGGACTCGTTTATAATCTAGTCCTCACAATTCCTACCTTTTAGCTCATCAATCTATAGTGCGCTCATGACTCTGTATTATTCTGGTATCAGGCAGCCCCTCTTGGTTACAGGGTTTCCTTCATCTAGAATAAGCTAGAACAGGAAATTAGAAGATTAGGGGATTGGGCAGTGCTGGTCTTTGGGTGGGGGAAGTTTACAATTTTAGATGGGGTGGATAGAAATGTTTCTAGAACAAACTTGAAAGCAGAATTTGGGTACTTAAAAAATTACTGTAATTCATTCTTGGGTTTATTTTTGGACTGTCCATACTTAAAGTGATACTGAGCCCATGAACTTTTTTCAAATGATGAGCTCTAGAACAGCAATGAGGATTCCATGGAGGTTGTTATCAGAAGTATGGACAACTTTCTATAAAAACATTGAGAGAGCTTTGTAAGACCAAAAGTAAAATAAAAAAAGGCAACAATATGGGACTGGTTCTATGTGTCTGTTAATTACACTCTATTTCTGAGTTTATCATCACATATTTGCCTTTTTGTCAGTCACTACATGTGCCTCTCTATTAATGTGTTTTGTTTCTGTGCATGTGTTTCTTCCCCTTTTGCTTTTTTTCTCAATCCCTGACAGTTTCTCAACTCATTCATTTTCTTTCCTTTAATTTGCTCATAACATGAAAACATCCCACGTTTTGGAAATATTCTGGATAAAGAACAAATGAAAAAAATGGAGACATTCTGGATAAGATACAAAGTTACCTCTCTTCTTTTTTTTCAGTCGGCCAGTGACACATAGGAAAAAAATTCTCTACTTCTCATTAAGTAATAAAGGATAGGACCATCTACAGTTCCTAAGACTAGTGTGAGAAGGGAGGTTCACTGCCCCAGTTCTTCAGTGACATGAATTGCAGAGAATATGGCCCCTTACCACAGTCCAATAGGAGCTGGGGTTCTGAAGAACCATGAAGGTCCTTGGTGTCCACTGGCTGGAACTGGACACTAAGTGCTGGTCCAGGAGGTGCCACCTTTCTCCTGAATATTTCTTGTCCAGGTCCATGGTCTGGAACCTGAGAAAAACAAAGTATATTTGGGCTTATGAGAGAATCCCTGTTGGAATGAAGCATCTTCCAAAAACAAACTGAAACTCCTGTAGTAATACAAAACTGGGGAAGGAAGAATTAAGTCTGACTCAGTTGTAAAATACAGTAGAGTACCAAACTATATGAAAGGAGGAAAGGAGACATAAAAGCACACTGAACTAAGAACTCCCACAGATCTCACTAGATATTCAATCTCAGGCCCTTTTTTTCCTCCCTTTGTGGCACTTCATCCACCCTGGAGGTCTTAGATCTCCCATCCCCTTTGTACCTGGAGTACTGCTTCATCAGTGCCTCTCTCTAAATCTTCCAGTATGGACACTGCCTCCTCTCCACTCTCTGGGTAATGTTCACGCACCCAAGTCTGCAGATCCCCAGGCAGGATGGTCAGGAACTGCTCCAGCACCAGCAGCTCCAGGATCTGCTCCTTGGTGTGGGTTTCTGGCTTCAGCCACTGACAGCAGAGCTCCCGGAGCCGGCTCAGTGCCTCGCGGGGCCCCGGGGAATCCTGGTAGCAGAACTGCCTGAACAGCTGCCGGCAGAGCTCCTGCCTGAGGGGATCACTTCTCTGTAAGCAAGTGTCCTGACTCCAGACAAAATCTTCCTCTTCTATCTTCACTATGAGAAGTCCTTCATCCTCCTGCAGGTCCTGAGCTGCAGCTTTCTTTGGCTCTGTTGTCATTTTGAGATAAAATCTATTATCTGAACCCTGCTTCTGTTTTGTGAAGGGCCTTTTTCAGTTTCAAGAACTTTCCTGAGGGATAAAAAAAAATACTATTACTGTCTAGGAAGATGAAAGATCATATAAAAATAGTCATTCTCCATTATACAAAGATTTGCTGGGCATTTACTCTGTGTAAAAGCACTGAAGGCAGACGGGTATAGCTCAGTGGCAGAGCATAAGATCAGCATGCATGAGGTCCTGGGTTCAATCCCCAGTACCTTCATAAAAAAGAAAAAAAAGCACTGAAATACCTGCTTTGTGGGGCACAACTGTTACATAATTTCTACCTAAAATCAGCTTAAAATTTTATTTTAAAAATAAGATAATTTAAATTACAAACATTAAAGATAAGACAATATAAGTATAAGGCAATACTAAAAGTTAACTTGTTACATGCAATTAAGTTCTATGGTAGCCATAAAGAAAATCACAACCAAAAGAGAAAAATGACAGAAGTGCTTCATAAAGCCGGAGATGAAAGAGAGTATAGTAGGTTGCAATGGTAAGGAAAAGCTTAATTAAAAAAACTAACTTCTGACAAATGGATAGGATTTGACTAGGATGTGGGAGAGAGAGAAATAAGAAATAAGAAAGCAAGGAAACTGCTTGAGCAACTGGTTAACGGTAGGAACACTGAAGCCAGAAAGCAAAAAGAGAGTAGGTTTGTATAAGGAAATTATAGAGACACAGGCCTTATTGAAGAAAGCCTTGAATGTCAGGTTCATGAATTCAGTCTATCTTTTAGGCACTGGGTAGCCAGTGAAAGCTTTTGAGCAGAATGACCTGACAAACTGCTTGTGCAGACTAAAAATTGTTCATTTCTAGGATGGATCACAATATGAAAAGATAGAAACTTACAGAAGCTACTATATTTTATAAGTGTCGGGAAAATACAAAGTTAGAATGTTAGGATTACATATAAATCTCTGAAATAATAAAATAGGGCAACTTTTCTTGAGAGCCATAGGTTAACAATTTCAGTCAGTGTAACTAGCTTTATCCCCGAAAGTCTGAGAGAGGTTTCCTTTTGCCCTAACAGTTCCTTCTCTGCCTTCCTAGTTACACGGCTCAATCCATGTCCTGAACATTGAGGCCTATCATATCACCAATAAAGTATAACAAACCAGCACTGAGATTTGCTTATCAGTCTTCTATGAGTCTTATTATTAGATAACAGTTCCGCAAGTCTTACCAGCTCTTGAGAATGGTCAGTCTGGGGTCTGAACTGAAAAACTGAAAAAAGGAATTTAGAGGTGAAGCCCTAGGGTACAATAGCAAAATGCAAGTATCAGTATCAATCTTTCAGGTCCTTCTACTAAACATTTCAGCAAGCTGACTACTGACGGTTGCACAGACATGTACTTTATCAAGAATCTTAACACAAGCAAAGTACTGGGCTAGAAGTTATATAGCAGTTGTTCCTAAGAAAATGAATTCAGAGATGGGCTTACTGCCTAATCATCATGTGGGAACCTTTTAGAAACAGATTCCTTGGCCTTGACCCTGGAGACGCTGACTCAGGTAGTGGGGTACACTGGATTTTCTGTATTCTGATGGACAGATAAAAGGAATTTAAAAAATAGTGTTTGAGGTTGCAAGGAGTTTGCAAAATGGTTGGAAAGAAACGACATAAAACACACATGGATGCAAAACATTTAAATAACAAAATCTGTTTCACATGACACACACATTGAAAATGTTTGATAAATGTTGAAAGCTGAAGTACTAAACAAATTGTATGGTAGAGACATTGAGTATCTTAAGGTATCTGGGGTAAGGAGAGAATGTGTATGTGTGTGTGTGTCTGTGTGTGTGTGTGCCTGTATGTGCAAATATTTCCTACAGGTGGTGGGGACAATAAAGGATGAGAAAGATCCAGAAAGACAAATAAGAAGGGACAGCAAAGAGTTGAGGAAGTAGGAATGAAGAACAGATTGATGGTAAAACCAGCTTGCAGGGTATAACTGCAGTGACTAAGAATTTCACTCTCTGATAAGGAATTCATCAGCTCTACTCAAGAGTTCCTGCAGTTCCCAATATACAATGTTTGTGGATACAACATTTATCATCTTGTATTATTCTTATTTGCTTGGCTTTTATTCCTCCATCAATTGACAGGGGATCCATGAGGTTAAGGACCATGCATTGTTAATATTTATTACTAAGTTCTCACATTTGTTGAATTACTGGATCAAAGTGGAAACTAGGAAATTTCGAGATGCTTTGTGTTTTGGGTATTTTCTATTTAAGATGGTAATGAGACATCCACTTAGAAAAACATTTCCAACAGATATTAAGAGATTGATGGAAAGGAGCTAGGAATGGAAATATAGATTCAGATGGAATCCATGGAAAGGGCAGTTGAAGATAAATATTTGGAATAATTCTCTAAGAGTATGAGATGAAGATCACAGGTTCAGACTGAACCTTGGAAAACAGTTTGAGTGGGTATATGTAAGAACAAAATTTAGCAATGATAGAGGGGTAAATGGGGGGTTAGAGCTATGGTATATTGGTCTCAGTCCTTCATAATTTACTGGGACATTCGTTAGCTATAGAGATCTAATTTCACTTCTTGTTATGTTTCCTAGATGTGCTAAGTGCTTACCAGGTAGTGTCCTAATACTTTATGGATATTATCTCATTTAGCACAGGAAGATGGACAGTGGAACAGGCTTATAGAATCCACAATTCCTAGTTTCAACTTTAATTATCATGCTAAGTAACTGGTTCTACAACATATGTTATCTCCCCAGATAGCTTAAAGTGCTGCCTCTAGGTGTTCCATCACTTCCCATCCACCTAAAACTGTCCACAATTCTAGATAAAATTATCTAGTTCTTAAGGACTTGATATATCCTCCCTAAAGCTGGGTTTCAAATGTCTTAGTAACCTTAACCTAATAAACAGTTATTGAACATCTGGTGCCTTACAATCACTAAGTTTGAGGAGAGCTACAAAAATAGCTAAGCAGATACTTAAACAAATGCTATTAGAACAGAGAGTAAAGAGTAATTAGTTATGTTGGGGAAGGTGGAGATTCTGTAAAGTGCGGGGTTCCTATTGGATGAGTAGTTTCCTGGTGTGTATGCTGCGGTAGGAGGACAGGGGAAGGGTTTTGCTGGTGAAGGGATGGGAGCTAGGGGAAAGCCAGCACAGGTCACAGAGCAGAGCAGGGGACTTGAAGTGCTTGATGGGGGAGGCTCCCACAGCGCCTGTGTTTCTCACACTGAGGAACTTTCCAGGCTTACGACTGCCTGCTTTACTGTCTTGTTTCTTATTCTAGAAAGAGGGTAGGGGCTCAGTGTTGGTTTCATGGCATCCCGGATACACAGGCAATACTCACTAAATATTTGCTCTATGTGTAAATTTCACGAGGATGCCAGAGCTGTCCCCACTTTTCCTACAAAATGTCGGGTTACTCCTCCCACGAGAAGCAAGCCTCGGGGGCGGACCCCAGGGCAGTTTCTTCTGGTAGAGAGCATCTGATCCTAGACAGACGCCAGTTTCTCTCGCCCCGCCCGACTGGGACCAGTCACTCCTCTTACCAGCGATCCCAGAATCTCTGCAAGCTGACGGCCCGCGGCCCCCCCAAACCACGCCCTCTCAGCGCTCAACGATGACGTCACGCGCGGCGGGGGTAACTATGGAAACCCCTATCAACCCCTATCTCTCCACGAAATAGGCGGGCGCGAACGCTCTCCCAACGCCAAACCTAGTTCCACCTTCCCTTGGGATTCCTCTGAGGTCCCGCGTCCAGAGCGCCACAGAGCTGCTGAAATCCCAAGGGGAACATGATAGGGACTGGGTATCTGGAGGGGACAAAGGGCCGGACTCCTGGGTCCCCAGAACCGGACTCACCTCTCCCACAGGGCTGGTTTCGATCGGACACTTCCGGTGGAAGGACGGCGCTGCACGACCTCTCAAGGCTTCCTTCCTCAGAGACTTTTGAGGCTGCGCAGAAGGAGACGGGCTGGCTTTGGACTGCGATTCCCGGAAGCCTTCGGGGTCTCCTCAGGCGCTCGGACTTCATTTCCCAGGCGTCTTCGCCACCGTCTTGCAGTTCTCAGAGCTGGAAGGAGGAGGCGTCTTGTCTCCCGTTTGTAGTAGTAAACTTGCTCTTCTACTCCTATGGGGCCTCGTCCTTGACTTCAGTCTAGGGCAGTGAAATGAAAGCCCACGCAGCAGGGACGCAGCTCCAACTTCACCTTTGGGTTTCTAGGAAGATTTTTTTTCCTGAACTCTTAATTTATCCCCCAACCCGGATGGAACGCAGATGTACCTAACTGGATTAATCATAACGCCTGGCTCAAGAAGTCTGTGCATGATCCTAAAGTGTCTCTAAGAACTAGAACATTGACAACTTTACTGCAGCTCTTTCTCTTGTCTCTCTCCATACCTCCTGTAATCTGAGGTAATTACAAGTTTTGTGTTCCCTTATTAATTAAAAAGATAGTTCTGTTTGATACACACTATGGCTAACCAATATATGCTCTTAATTTTAGTTGTTTTTAGTCTAAAAGGCATCATATCATAGGTAATCTGATATTTGCTTCTTTACACTCAACAGTATGTTACTGAAAATTATCCGTATTGTTTAGTTAAAATGTTCATTACTATATAATATTCCAGTGAATATAGCATTGTGTTCATGCATTCTTCTAAAGATGGGCTGATCCTCTGTTACGTCTCTTCTGGATTACTGACAACCTCGTAAGTGAGCCCTGTGCTTCTTTCTACCTGTCTGTCACAGTCCTTTCTCAGTAGAGCAGCCAGAGTGATAACTGTTTTTGTTTTTTAAATCAGAGTACCAATCCCGCCCCACTTCCAACCATGTGGACATTCTACTATCATGTCTTATTTATTATTAAACATTTTAAAATTTAGATATAATTGATGTACAATATTATATGTTTCAGGTGGATCATAGGCAACTCTATTTTTAGTTTTTAAAGAACCTCCATATTGTTTTTCATGGTGGCTGCAACAATTGGCGTTGCCACCAACAGTGTAGGAGGGTTCCATTTTCTCCACACCCTCACCATCATTTGTTATTTGTACACTTTTTAATGATGGCCATTCTAACTGGCGTGAGGTGATACCTCATTGTGGTTTTGATTTGCATTTCTCTGATAATTAGTGATGTTGAGCATCTTTTCATGTGCCTACTGGTCAGTCTGTATATCTTCTTTGGAGAAGTGTCTATTTATGTCTTCTGCCCATTTTTGGATTGGGTTGTTTGTTTTGTTATCCAGTTGTATGAGCTGTCTGTACATTCTGAAAATTAAGTCCTTGTCAGCCACATCAATTGCAAATATTTTCTCCCATTTTATAGATTGTCTTTTTGTTTTGTTTATGGTTTCCTTTGCTGTGCCAAAGCTTGTAAGTTTGATTAGGTCTCATATGTTTGTTTTTGCTTTTATTTCTGTGGCCTTTGGAGACTGACCTAAGAAAACATCTCTATGATTAAATCAGAGAATGTTTTGCCTGTGTTCTCTCCTAGCAGTTCTGTGGTGTCGTGTCTTATATTTAAGTCTTTAAGCCATTTTTGATTTATGTTTGTGTACATTGAGAGGGAGCGTTCTAATTTCATTGATTTACACGCGGATGTCTAGCTTTGCCAGCACCACTTGCTGAAGAGACTGTCTTTTCTCCATTGTATATTTTTGCCTCTGCTGTCAAAGATTAATTGACCGTGGGTGTGTGGATTTATTTCTGGGCTCTCTGTTCTGTTCTATTCATCCATATGTCTGTTTTTGTGCCAATATCACACTGCTTTGATTACTGTAGTATTGTCTGAAGTCTGATTTCAAGTGGTAGAATATGTTTTCTGTTTCTGAATATGTTATTTTTTTTAGTTTTATTAAATTATTTTCAAAGAATGTTTTCGTAACTATTTCGTCACAGGTGGTGTCACACGCTGGCTTCCAAGAGAAGCATTCTGTAAAGCACATATTAGCATGCAGGAAATTTATAGGTAGTGATTTTGGGATTAACACCTGTGAGGGATTGAAGGCAGTAGCATTGGGCAGAAGAAGTTGGGCTGTGATGCAATTACAACAAAAGTCTCTGCTCTTCCCATGGAACAAAGATAACCCTTCAGAGTTGTCCTGAATTGGGTTGAGGGGGTAAGGTCTTTAAAGCACTTCAAGAGACTAGTCATTGGATGCAGCTTGCCCTTAGGCAGCCCTTGGACCAGGCTGTTTTGCTGTTGTTGTTGTTGTTGTTGTTGTTTGGTTTTTTTGCTTTTTCAGTTGAGGGCAATTTCTGACAGTACCGTTAGAAAGGGTTATCAGCTGGCAACAACTGAGAGAGTAAGTCTGTCATTCTGGAAAGGGGATCAGGGAAGCATAGCATGGTGTTCAGTACAGGGGAAAACTGGAGGTATTCTCTTTCTCAGTCGTCTTTGTACTTAGGGCAAGAACATATTGTCCGTGTTTGACCAATCAGATACAGCCTCTCTGCAACTTGGATCAAAGATAAGTAAAACCAAAACTAGAGGCAGTGGAAAAATCTCTCTGATGGTGGTGGCAGTGGCAGAAATGGCCAGTTCTTGGGTCAGCAGTGGCAGCAGGCTAGTGATGGCATCTAGTGTCTCTGGCACACAGCATTAATGGATCAAACCGTAGCATCCAGTGTTTAATGACAGTGACTTTAAGTCATAGGATGGTTATGTATGTTGTTTTTGCAATGGTCTGGTTATGAGCATCTGAGCCTGCTTCTCCAGCCATTTCAGAAACTTTGTGAAAGGTTCAGTACTCCTTCATTAAATTTTATTTCTGCTTAATTGAGAAGAATTGATTTCTGTTTCTTTGCAATTAAGATATCTGGTGCATACAAAGATCTTTCAAGAGATAGGGAATTGTGGACAGATTGGTTCATTTTTGCTCTTGCTTCTCTTTTTGCATCCAGTGTTTTTTATACCGGTCCTTACATGCTCCAACAAATTTTTCTGATCTCTCTTTCATCAGAGAAGAATAAAAACCACAAGGGTAATTTTTAGAAGATCTTCTCATCGTAAATAAACAAACAAACACATATTTATGGCAGGATGTCTTAAAAAATCTCTCTATATTTAATCTCTTTCTTTTTATCTTTATTTCTGTGTATCAGTTATCACATCACATAAAAATGATTGAGCTTTTTTTTTTAAAACCAGCTTTGAAGAGATTTTTGGGGATGGTATGACTTAAAGTATGGGACATATGGTATATGGAAAAACGCACTTTACAGGGCTCTGGGGGACATTGTGGACACAGGAAACAATCTGTTAAATCAGGTATGATTTTCAAATCAGAAGTCACAAAGGCTTTCCATTGCTAGTGGGGTCTACTTCTCATATAGGCAACTCTTTGCATGTTCCAGGGTAAATGACACAGATTTTTAAAATTTAAAATGACGATTAATAGCCTCCCAGGCAGTTCTTTGTAGACTATCACAAAGATACATAGATATATACATAGACAATAGATATAAATCCTGCTTTTTACACAAGAGAATAAAGACAGATTATAGGAAATGCATACAATATAGTCATAAAACATGAACAAATATAAAACATTGGGGTGAGAAATAATCCATCCCTCTTTCTCACCAATCCCTAATATGGACCCTTTACCACATTAAGATTAATGTATTCAATGCATTTACTCATACATACCATGGTCCTTCTTACCTACAAATCTTCCTCACGTATTGGTTTTGTTTTGTTTTCTCTTTTTGTGGGGGAAGGTAATCAGGTTTATTTATATATTTATTTTTAGAAGAGGTACTAGGGATTGAACCAAGGACCTCATGCATGCTAAGCGTGCCCTCTACCACTTGAGCTATACCTTCCTCACATATCTTGAATATTCTTATCATTCCTATGTAACTGTCTCTAGCCAAGACCCAGATTACAGTGCTGTTTTCCCCCTGAAGCTTTTCTTAACCTCTTAAGCCTTTAACAATATCTTCTTTTTTTGACCTCACATTGCAGTTATGGTTTGAATCTTTCATTACATAGCAGTTTTATTCTCTGCTGTTTTTCATGCATGAGAATGTGGCTACCTATTCCTGTCCATTCTGGGACAGTCCTTTTAAATAAATAATAAATAATAAAAGGGAAATAAATAGCAAATAATGAAGAGAATTATTATGCTCTCCCATGCTATCTGTAATGTCTTTATGATGCATTCAGATGTCAATTACATAGTTGTATTGTGATTTTTAGGGACTTTATATATAAATATTTGCCCACATCATTAATATCTTAGGGAACTTAAATGGAT